GTGAGTCATTTGGACGGTATCTGAGCTCACTCTGCAAGGTCAAAATCACATCAAAATACACAGCGGCGTATTCCGTAGAGGTACATGAGTCACAAAGACAAACTTCAGACTGACTTCCTGTGTGTCTCGGAGGATTTTCCGTGATGAACAAGGTGATGCGACGAGTTTGACATTGCTGTGCTGTGCGGCGTGACGTCAGTCTGAGTGCTTTAGGATTTAATTTGTATAATTGATGTCGCCAACTGTTGACCAAGACCTCAGATGTGCTAAATCCCTTCCAAAACTCCAACTCTTAAAAGCCTAACACAAGAACATCCGACAGGTTTTCAATGGCTTTTGTGTGACAGAAATCTGCATGAATGTCCTGCTGAACACAAGCAGCCTTTGAAGTGGTAATAGCTCATATTTCTCATCTTATGTAAGAGCTTAAGAGGCTCGGACAGATTAAATCCCGCCTTGACGGAGGGGGAGAGAGGTGGAGCCAATAGCAGCACGGCCAATCCTGTCACACTCGTTGACGCTCACTGCAGTTAGTCAGGTTGTAGTACTGAGATGTAAAGACACACGGCATCTGGTGACTGTCTTTATGCTGATCTGAAACCAGCTTTCCTTGCGTAATCCAAACCTATTAATGCGAGACAGGCTAGATATTGTGATTTCAAATTGATTTGCAATTTACTTTGTAGTCAAGCTTCAGCTCCGTATTCTGTATCGTAGCTTCTTACTGCTAAATTAAGTATTAGTTAAAAAAGAACTAAAACATATTAACTTACCCCAACATTTATTTAAATTTGTTTAAAAATATTCACAAATGAAACATTCATTTTTCTCCAGAGCAGCAAACAGTAGTGAGTTATGGTGTTAGTTATCTCCTGGTGCCTTTGTGATGCTATTTTATTCGGTGTAGAAGCCACAAACACCTCTGAAGTTGTACTTTGCTGTTGCTCGCGACCAGATTGAGTGTCACTGGCAGTACAGCCCCCTGTGCTGCTTTTTAGGTGCTGGTTGTTGTAATGTGACAAGGGAAGTGAGGATCCAGTTGCAGGATTTATTAGCAGGATAGTCAGGCAAGCAACGGCCAACACAGGGGAAAACAGATGTTTACAGGCAAATCCAGAGTCATGGTCAAATATCAGGCAAGAGGTCAGAATGCAGGCAGCAGACAATGTAAATAAACAAAATAAGGCACAGGGTCAGAAAGAAGGCAAGACAGGGCAAGGAAAAACATCGTAATGTTCACAAAACAAGACTCAGCAACGTGTGTGTTTGAGAGGTTTATATATATTCTGTGCAATTAGTCCTGAGCAGCTTCAGTGTCTGTTTGCAAGCATGGGGATTTAGGCCAGGTGTGTGAGTGGTGCATGACTGGATATGTAGTTCTTTCACTGTTAGATTTGTAGTTCTCCAGCGATCTGCATGAGCTAGATCTGCTGGTGATTGTGACAGTTATATTTCCTCATGTTGTGGCAGCAATTCTGCAACAGCTCTTACAAATGACCTGTTTTTGTTTTGTGTCTGTGACTTTGAAATCAAAATATTCCCATATTACCGATGTCCTGTTTTTCTTTGATATTAATTTGTCTATTAATGCTTCTGAAGCAGCAGACACCATCATCCCACTCGTCCGCGCTTTCCTGTTTGTTTGTTTTGTTGTGGGCGTTCCGCATTGTTCGGTTGCTCAATTCTGATTGGGCAGAATGAAAGTTTGCTCACTCAATTGGCTAGTAAGACTGCCGCACACAGTGGGCAGTTGCGCATTTGCTGTGGCTGGGGGAAATTAAATGGTACATTCAGATAAAGTCAGAATTTTTAGCCCCCCGATTTATTAGCTCAGTTTCTGTTTAAAGGAGAGCAGATTTTTTCAACACATTTCTAAACATAATAGTTTTAATAACTCATTTCTAATAACTGATTTATTTTATCTTTGGCATGATGACAGTAATTAATATTTGACTAGATATGTTTTAAGACACTTCTATACAAATTAAAGTGACTTTTGAAGGCTTCACTAGGTTAATAAGGTTATTTAGGCAGGTTAGGGTAATTAGGCAAGTTATTGCATAACGATGGTTTATTCTGTAGACTATCAAAAATAAATATTGCTTAAAGGGGCTAATCATTTTGACCTTTAAATGTTTTTTTTTTTAAATAAAAAACTGCTTTTATTTTAGAAAAAATAAAACAAATAAGCAGCGGCGCAGTAGGTAGTGCTGTCGCCTCACAGCAAGAAGGGCGCTGGGTCGCTGGTTCGAGCCTTGGCTCAGTTGCCGTTTCTGTGTGGAGTTTGCATGTTCTCCCTGTGTTCGCGTGGATCTCCTTCGGGTGCTTCGGTTTCCTCCAAAGACATGCAGTACAGGTGAATTTGGTAGGCTAAATTGTCCGTAGTGTATGAGTATGTGTGTGCATGAGTGTGTGTGGATGTTTCCCAGAGATGAGTTGCGGCTGGAAGGGCATCCGCTGCGTAAAAACATGCTGGATAAGTTGACCCCGGATTAATAAAGGGACTAAGCCCAAAAAAATGAATAAATGAATGATTACTGTGAAAAATGTCTTGCTCTGTTAAACATAATTTGGGAAATAGAAAAAAAAATAAAATCAAAAGGGGGTTAATAATTCTGACTTCAACTGTATATATTTCATATCGCAGTCTCTTGCGATTCCCTAATCGACACGTTTCAAATTGCGATTCAATTAATCGCACAGCCCTACTGCTGGCATAAATGCACTTTTCAATTTTGAGATATTGAGCTTTTTGGAATTTCAGTCGAAAAATACCCTTTTATGTGATTCTTTTGTCACAATTTGTGTCTGTAGGTTTAAATTGGATCGAATATTTTATTTTATTTTTCAAAATTATTTTATTTTCATGAATCTCCACTTCAGCAGCTTTACATAAAACATTTATTACCATTTTAGTTATAGTGTATACACATTTTAAAGGCCTTTACAGAGGCATATGTCCATACAAAATATTTGTGATTATATACAACATTTTATTCTATAATTTTTTTTCTTAAGTATTGAGTGATAATAAAGATTCCCATATATCCCTTCTGTTAAACCTTTTGACTTTAAAGGGGATCTATTATCCAAAAATCATTTTTATAAGGGGTTTAAACACAATTGTACGGCAAGAGTCTGTGAATATAAGCAGCTTGTAATGGTAAAAATATATTTGTTAATTTTTTTATAATCACACTTGATAAAACAGTCTAGAGTGTGTCATCAGAGAGGGAAAGCCCGGCACATTATCAACGATCTCTCCCTCATTAGCAGGACTTTAGTCTTTTTTTAAAAATGTGCCACTATGCTGACACACAGGCATTTGTAGCTCCGCCCTTTTTTGAAAAAGCATAATCTTGTTTTAATTTAAAGTGTCAGTCACCAAAATGCCACAATATGGATCAAAGCCTAAAACGGGCAGTTTCTAAGAGTTATAAAACAATTTTCGTGGGGTATTTTGAGCTGAAGCTTTACCTACACACTCGAGGAACATCAGAGACTTATTTTGCATCTTGTAAAAAGGGACATAATAGCTCCCCTTTAAATATACAATATAAATTCCCAAAGAAATCTGACTTTATCGAATGTTCAGATTTACAGTATGTGCTGCATATTTCATAAAACAATGCCTCATATACATATATAAAATTATACTCTTCGAAAACTTTAACTACAAATATTATCCAATACAATTGTTAGTGTAATCAGTCAATTGGAATGTAAATCTCCTTCCCCTGCAGTGTCTTAAAGCTATAATGTGGTCAAGAGCATTAATAAGAGTGGATGCTGCAGAACAGCTGTTGAGTGAAGTACCAATAATGAAAAAACAGGCGAAATTAACATGTGTGCAAACCTGCTAGGATGTATATTTCACGCTGTTGCTTTTATTATAGCATAGTTTTCCGCTTTTTGCTTTTAGTTAAAGTAGAGTAGTACAGGGAATTCATGTAAAATACTGAAACATTAAAAGTTATTAGTACTTCTTAGCATTATTCAGCACTGTTGTTATTGCTCTAGTGTAACATTTTTCCATATTAACCTCTACAGTAAGTGTTAAAGGGATAATTCGGTGAAAAAAAATAAATAACAATTTGCTCAGCCTTGTTTCAGCCCCTTTTTATTTGTGAAGCACAAAGAGATAGCATTTTAAAGATCTTAGCTAAACAGTTACACTTTGTTATGTGTATTTTTAGTTTAGTTGTAGCTCCGTTTTAGCTTTAGTGCCTGCCATTTTACACTTTACTTGTTCAAAATGTGATGTGAAGATCCGTCGCTGGTTGCTGGCATCAATTAACTTAGTAATTCTGTATTTTTCCGATTATGGACGTCAATGGGGCCCAAAACCAGCATTCTTCAAAATATCTTCTTTTGTGTTCAACAGACGAAAGACACTCATAAAACCATATGAGAGAGAGTAAATGATAAGGGAATTTTGGGTGAATTTTCCCTTTAAAATATTATACATTAAAGTATTTACTAAAATATCATACAGACAAACACTGGGAACCAATGTGTCATCTTTGCACCCGGCTTTTTTTTTTTTTACAGGAAATGTAAAAGTCTAGTATTGCACTCTTCTTTTCTTCTGTCTGTTCCTCTCTTGGTCTCCTTTCTCTGCCTCTCGCTCTTTGTTATGAAACTATGGTCGCTCTGCCTTTGAGAGTCAAATCAAGCATGACGGGGACCATAAGTTCTCTATCTGTTCTCTTTCTCATCAGACTAAACTCTGCAGTTGTAGCTCAAAGCGGGTTCCTCTTTTTGTGCACCTGTTTTCTCTGACCTGTGAACTCACATGACAACACACTGGAGGCAAAAACACCCTTTTCATCCATCTGTCAGTTTTTAGATTTGGGGCCTTTGGGCTTCTTTTAAAGTGATTTTTAAATGTAATTTAAAGAGAATAGTTTTACATATATATATATATATATATATATATATATATATATATATATATCTGAATAAATAAATAATGCATGCTGTCTGTCTGTTTGTTTCAGTGTACAGGAGAGGAGAACTGGGTGGACAGCAGGACGGTTTATATTGGGCATAAAGAGCCTCCACCAGGAACAGAAGCCTACATTCCACAGAGATTTCCTGACAACAGAATCGTCTCCTCGAAGGTCAGATGTGAACTACGACAAGCAGTTTTGTATAACCATGACAAGCTGACTAAGAATATTTTATATAATAATAATATGAATAATAATAATAATAATAGTAATAATAATAATAATAATAATAACTATATATATATATATACACGCACACACACACACACACACACACACACACACACACACACACACACATATATATATATATATTTTTTTTTTTTATATTTTCATTTTTTTTTTTATATTATTAATAATAAATATTTTTGGTATGTTCTTTGGTACTATATAGCAAAAAACATTTAATAGGATCATCTACACTTTAATATATTATAATAAGTAAAGGTCAGAATAAATATGTTTTAAGATTTTATTTTTATATATAAATAAGTTTTACACTGAATACTGAATTTCACAGATATTTAATATCATATTTGACTCATTTGCATATATCTAAAAATAAACATTTATATTAAAGATTTAGAAATTATTTTGATAAAATCTACATAACAATAAATGGCAAAAAATATATATAAAATTAGTATTTTGACAACATTACAACAAAAGACAACAGTACATCTGCAACATTTTAGCTTGTTTTGATCTTAAATCTAACAAAAAAAGTGACGTGAAAAAAAGAGTAGTAATTTAAAATATTACAATGCAGAATTACAGGTCAGTCCCTTTCAGAGAATAAACATATCTCTCCTTCTCCCAACAGTATACGTTCTGGAATTTTATACCGAAGAACCTCTTTGAGCAGTTCCGAAGAATCGCCAATTTCTATTTTCTGATCATCTTTCTAGTGCAGGTTTGTGACGGCAGCGGTGCTGTTTAGCATGAGCTGACCTTTCAGTGCCAGCGGGATGTGTGATGTTTCTCTCTCTCTGTCTGTAGCTGATCATTGATACCCCCACCAGTCCTATGACCAGCGGCCTGCCTCTTTTCTTTGTCATCACAGTCACAGCCATTAAACAGGTGAGAGAAAACACTCTTTCTTTTCTCTATGATTGGTTTCTTAATTGTGACATCACTCATCTTCCTCTCCTCTTGTCCTCTCTGCAGGGGTACGAGGACTGGATCAGGCACAAAGCGGACAACTCTGTAAACCAATGTCCGGTCCACATCGTCCAGCATGGCAAAGTTGTACGCAAACAGAGTCAGAAGCTACGGGTATGTGAGCATATAAGTAAAATCTGGATCAAATGTATTGTTGAGGAATCTGGGTTAGTTTTTCTCTAAATGTGACCACATTTTTGCCACCATATGACAAAAATTACTGTTTTCAAACAGGTTTCCTTTAATATCACCCAATTTTACCTTGTTTAAATGATTAGATAATTCGTCAGTCCCTACTGGCCACTGTGTTTTTGTCGTCCCGAGTTCGAGTCCCGGCTTGCAGACATTTCCGGATTCTGTACCCTCTCTCTCCCCAACTTTGCACTGTTCTATCATAAATAAGGTCTAAAATAAGATCAGCCAAACCAAGCTATGTGTTAATGACATATTTATTACAATCAATGCTGTCAAATAAATGTAGTGTTAGTGTATACGAAGACTCCGGCCACTGTCACTTATAGCAGTGGCCATGGTTGCTACTAATGTTTGCATTTAGACGCAGTGGCACAGTAGGTAGTGCTGTCGTCTCACAGCAAGAAAGTTCGCTGGTTCGAGCATCGGTTGCGTCAGTTGGCGTTTCTGCGTGAAGTTTGCATGTTTTTCCTGGGTTCGCGTGGGTTTTCTTCCGGAATCGCGCGGCTGTTGCTGGTGTTCTATTGAGTGTCGCCTCTTGGTGATTCTAAGCTCTTTGCTGGAACTACCCGTAAATCTCAAAGGAAATAATGCACACCCTCTAGCCAATCAGAATCAAGAATTTTAACAGACCATGGAATAAAAACAGATTTATGTATAACATTTATACATCATATATATGCATGTACAATTGCAGAGTTATTAGCCCCCTGTTTATTTTTTCCCCAATTTCTGTTTAACAGAGAAGATTTTTCAACACATTTCTAAACGTAATAGTTTTAATAACTCATTTCTAATAACTGATTTATTTTATCTTTGCCATGATGACAGCCCATAATATTTGACTTGATATTTTTCAAGACACTTCTATACAGCTTAAAGTGACATTTAAAGGCTTAACTAGATTAATTAGGTTAACTAGGCAGGTTAGGGTAATTAGGCAAGTTATTGTAAAATGATGGTTTGTTCTGTAGACTATTGAAAAACAATATAGCTTAAAGGGGCTAATAACATTGACCTTAAAATGGTTTTTAAAAAAATGTAAAACTGCTTTTATTTTAACCGAAATAAAGCAAATAAGACTTTCTCCAGAAGAAAAAATGTTATCAGACATACTGTCTAAATTTCCTTGCTCTGTTAAACATCATTTGGGAAATTATAAATAAGAAAAGGAATTCTAAGGGGGTTTAATAATTCTGATTGCAAATGTAAATGGGAAAAAATGAGACAACTAGAAATATTTGTTTCTCTGGATTTTATGGATTTCTAAGGTATTGGTTTAAGTAAATTTTAAACAAAAGTTTTGTCATTTAGTTGGTCAGAAGAACATCAGAATCAAATATTGCTATTTTCTCAATTTTGCGTTCGTTGCTTACACATTTTTAGCTTCCAGTTGTTGTTTTTTTTCCTGTCTGTGGAATCCACTGTGTTCTACTCAAGTTGGTAAAGTACACTGGAAGCTGTGACTATGAAGACAGAATGTGCCTTAATACTTACCATTACAGCTTTTCCCGCTGATAATCCGGTCGGCATCTGTAATCTGTTACGCAACACATGCAGACGGGCCAACGGGAACAACTACCAGAATCGGGATTTTCATTTATGTAGATTCAAGAGCATGATACTTTTTTCATTCCACTGTGATGTAACTGATTATTTTTAGCCGATTGGTTGATATTAGTGTCATGCAGTATATCACAGTAGATCACTACAGTTTGGAAAGAAAAAAAGGAATTCATAATGAAATGGGACAGATAAAAGAAGAATCCTGCATAATCTGTTTTTAAAGTGTCCCTATTTTGCTTTTATATAGTGTGTGATAAAGACTTTTGTGAATGTAAAAGCTCGATTTAACCCTTGTGTGCTGTTGTCTTAATAACAACTTCGGGTCACAACAACAACTCCAGGGTGATTTTGAGTCTTAATTTAACCACAACATTCTCTGTGTTTTGGCAAATGAAATGATTTTTGAAGACAAACCTAATTTTGAGACACATTTTGGGGGAAATGCTTTGAAAATCAATTTCAAAAACTCAACAATACACCTTGGGCAAATTGACTTCCCTTTCGTTATATTGATTGTTGTTTTTACCCCATTGACTTCCATTATAATGACATTTTTTGATTGCAAAGCCATGATGCCATATAATCGTGCATTCTTGATTGTTGGTGGTCTTTCTTGTTGGGTAGAGGCAAAACTTGTCATTTGTACTATTTTTTCCAATGTTGTTTACTTTGCGGTCAAAAAATGTTGTAATAATTGAGGTCAATGAGGCAAAAACAGCCACCAACACAATGAAAGAGTAGTCAATTTGAACAATACACAAGGGTTAATTGAATTTACTGTCTTTCTCAAAAGGATTCAATGTAGTGTAGGATTGCAGACTTTCAAATAATGGTTGCTGGAGACAATCTATTGGCACAATAAGTCATGCTATGTCATGTGTTTGTCATTTTGCCCTCTTACAAAACTCTTAGTAAAATATTCTCACATTTGAATTTTCAGGTTGTTGTTTACTTTCTAGCTGTAACTGTAAATGTTTCCTGCTTTTTTTTTAGGTAGGGGATATTGTCCAGGTGAAAGAGAATGAGACGTTTCCTTGTGACCTCATACTGCTGTCCACCAGTAGAGAAGATGGGACGTGTTTCGTCACGACAGCCAGCTTAGATGGAGAGTCCAGCCATAAGGTGAACGATTATATACATATCTTGTAGAAATGCAAATATTACTGGTGGGGCAGCACGGTAGGCGCAGTGGATAACACGATCGCCTCACAGCACGAAGGTCACTGGTTCGAGCCCCGGCTGGACCAGTTGGCATTTCTGTGTAGAGTTTGCATGTTTTTCCCATGTGGATTTTCTCCGGGTGCCACAGTCCAAAGATATGCGGTACAGGTGAATTGATTAAACTAAATTGACCGTAGTGTGTGAATGTACTATAAGAGAATATGGGTGTTTCCCATTGTTGGGTTGCAGCTGGAAGGGCATCCTCTGCATAAAACATATGCTGGATAAGTTAGCGGTTCATTCCGCTGTGGCGATCATTGATTAATAAAGGGATTAAGCAGAAAGAAAATGAATTAAATGAAAGGAATGAAACTTTACTGGTAATATTACAATTGGTTGTTTGCAGATGGAGGGCTGTAAGTGATTCTAACTGTTTATGTTTTGTTGTTAAAATTTGGTCAGTCCAAAAACAAAAAAGAAAAAAACTCATAGCTATTGAAGAGTTTCAAAAGTTGTAGGGAAATATACTTGATAACGGAAGGAAAAGTGGCTTGAAATGAACATTTCTCAAATATATAGATGCACAATTGTATGTGTAACCCCACCGGTCCTACACTACCCAACCCGCTCCGTGCTGGGATTGAACCAGCGACCTTCCGCATGGGAGTCGGTTGCTCTAACAAGGAGGCTAAAGACCATGGCTTCCAGTGTTTGTCGCTAGAGCACCTTTAGAGGTCAGAGGAGTGAGGTTTACCTGCACAGCACTTACTAGCTGGCCTCCGTTACATATGTACAAACTTTTTTTTAAAGGCTATTAATCATTTGACAGCACTGATCAGTATGTTAATATATAATTAGTAAAATATTGTTATTAATCTTAATATTATGTTTATGTATTATAAATAGAAAAAGACAGATATTACAAACAACACCACCAAAAAATTCAGCGAACATAAATAACTTACCCTGCCAAAACTAGACGATTGTTTTTGTGAAGCACCTTGGTTACCTTTGTAGATTTTCCCATCCACTAACAAAATAAAACAACGTTATGCATCCATGCTTTTATATGCTTTCATCTGCTTTTTTGTGCAGACAAATGTCTGGAAGACAACACAACCACATGAAAATATACTATAATATTTTATAGGAAAATGTATGATGTATATATTATACTGTAGTATTTACATCTCTGTTAATAAATATTATATTGCAAAACATGAATTATTGTGAACTGATAAACTGTTATAAATACTGTAGTATACTTTAGCTTTGCTACTGTAAACTGTGGTGTATTGTAGTAAACATTCTAAAGAAAAGTAAGTATAGTATTGGGTATTTTGTTTATTACTATAATTTAAGTTGTTGTGATGCCACAGCTACTACAGAATGATCAGAACAGAACATTTCTGTACTAGTTTTTTTTTTTTTCTGTAGTAACATTTAGAACTATAGTATTTCCAATAAACAACGTTTTGATGTAGGTATAATCATTTAAAATGAGGTTGCTTATTAGATCTGCTGCCTTATAGGTAGGGCCAGACGAAATCTGTGGACATTTTTTGCTTTTTCTTCGCAGAATTGTGTTAAAAATCTGTGGATTTATGCTGAATTATTTTTGGGGTATCATATCTAAAACCTTAATATATCAAATAAAAAGTAAAACCTTTTAAACTTTTATTTTATATTTACAGTGCAAATCCAATTAGATCCACTTTATTTGGTAAACTAAGCAAGTATCTCATATAATATATCTACTAAAAGAAAGAAAATATTACTTAACAAACTGTATTGTAAATAAATCATATAAATCATATAAATATTTCCATATTAGTCAATAATATTACTGTAATTAATTTAAACATACATTTACACAAGTAAATAAACAAAATCAAATGTTGGGCTAAAAATCTGCGTAAATCTGTGCGCGCAGATTGTGTGTGGGCCTACTTATAGGCAAGTAAATATTTCAGTTACCCTGTTGTGACCCTGGACATCAAATCTGTCATAAGTGTACATTTTTGGAAATTGAGATATACGCATTATCTGATCGTTGACTTAAAACTTTTCCATTGATAATATTTGGCAGAGATACAACAATTTGAAAATCTGGAACCTGAGAGTTAAAACAAAAAAAATCACAATATTGAGAAAATCGCCTTTAATATTGTCTAAATGAAGTTTTTAGCATTGTATTTTACCAAAGATTTTTTTTTTACAGAAGGAAATTCCCGAAATGTTGTCATGGAAGATGATTATTTCTTAATATACTAATTATTTTGTCACAACATCTCAATCAAAATAGTTTTTTGCTTTTCCCACAAATTTTTTTGTGGTCCAGGGTCACAAATAAGAATCATGTCCAACATACATATGTGGTTATTTTCTGTTTACAGTATATCTCTTTTGAAGCAATCTACAGTGCAACAATATGGACTATTCTCTTTCTTCCATTTAGTTTATTACTTATAGCTCTGCACTGGAATTTCACATGTAACCAGAATCACATCATTGCAAACAAGCTGTAGAATAATTATAAGGGTTTATGTATTTTAAATTATTACACTGAGTGTAAAATTCAGTGGAGATCAACAGATTTTAGATCTAGAACATTTGAAGGATACTCCTTGCTCCCATTTAAAGTTATTCTAACAGGACAAAAGAACGTATTTCATGAGTCAAGTATGTTTTGAAATGCAGTATAAAACAAATTGACATGAGAAACGCAACACAGGCTCATTATGGATATGTACCCCTGTCTATATTTCTGGGGAGCGCATATTATGTAGCCAAAGGTGGTACTTATGGCTGCATTTCATCTTTAAAATGAACGCTATGGGGCGGTATGATGCCACAAATGGGTCCTGTTAGTTTGAGTGCCCGCTGACAGCTGGACGGCTGTTACCAGTTTGCCCAGTAGCTTGCCACGTACGCCGATGGACTTGGGCTGCATGGTTGAGTTGATCGCGACAACATAGTTTGAATTCAACAAAGAATGGTTGTAGAAACCAGGTAAAAAAAAGCCAAAAAATAAATAAAGATTCAACAGGCTGAAAATGTGGTGAAATCACACGACTGCGACCACTTTTCTTTTTCTAGATTGCTTTTGAAAACACTATCGGTTGGGTTTAGGGACAGGGGTGGGTGGGTCAGTCAGTCAGTCAGTCGACAGCAAGTTGGGCTGGCTGGTTGAAGTGTATATTGCGCCCTCTGGTGGATTCATGTGAGAAGAGGATGCTTAAAAGAAATTTGATATCATCAAATAGCAAACACAGCGACCTCCGGTGGATTTGCAAAAACAAAAACGGCAAACAGAAGTACCTCCAGGTATGTATTTCGCTGTCCCCAGAAATGTAGACCTGGGTACATTTCCGTAATGAGTCTGGGTTGAAAAAAATGGTGTGTATGAAAAAGCACATTCATCAAAATTAGAAAAAAAACTTTCAGATCCTCTACTTACAGGTGTTAACATGGTACCTGGTAAATTCCTTATGATCAGTAACTGCTTTTTCAAAAGAATGAAATACGTTTTTGCTTAAAGTAGGAAAAATAAATCTTCCAATTCTGAACAATGAAAAATGTATCATTTATGAATAAAAATCAAGTGTTTTTCAAGATTTTCTCCATTTCTGATCTGCTCTGTATATTTGTTTACACTTGCACACACACACACACACACACTCTTAATAGTTAATAGCAGAAATTTGTGTGAGAGTTTTTGACCTTGGAATGCTAACTTGTTTCTCTCTTGCTCTCCTCTTTACACAAAGACCTATTATGCAGTTCAGGACACAAAAGCCTTCAGCACAGCAGAGGAGGTGGACACGCTGCACGCCACCATAGAATGCGAACAACCCCAGCCAGACCTGTACAAGTGAGAAATAGGCTTCTATATCAGCAGCAAACACAAAAACAAACCCGCAGATTTTGCTTACAAATTCACAGTGTGTATAGAATTACTGCTGGACCGTCAAAACAGCATGAAACGCACTCCAGAGTGTGTTAACTACACACACACACACACACACACACACACACACACACACACACACACACACACACACACACACACACACACACACACACACACACACACACACACACACACACACACACACACACATATTGACACAGAGCCCAGACCAGACATTCATTTCTGTCTTTTCTTCCTCTCCCGCTGTAGATTTGTGGGACGCATCAATATTTATTTGGATCGAGACGAGCCCATCGCGAGGTAAATCTATATTCAGGAAATTGACTCTTAATTAAAGGGCCAGTGTGTGAAAGATTGAATTCAAGAGGCACAATTTATCATTTTCATAGAACAGGTCTGTCTTCCAATTCGTATTCTTGCTAAAGCAATGCTTCCAACATTTCATTCTTTAATTAAAACATTTTTTGGTGCAGATATGTAAGTTATGCAAATGTATAAACATACAGTATATACCGTATTTAAAACTAATAAATAAATACAGTATTTTTATAATATATACACTCACCGGCCACTTTATTAGGTACACCTCACTAATAGGTGGTTGGGCCCCCTTTTGCATTCAGAACTGTCTTAATCCTTCGTGGCACAGATTTAACAAGGTATTAGAAATATTCCTCAGAGATTTTGGTCCATATTGACATGATAGCATCAAGCAGTTGCCTTTCTATCAGCTCAAACCAGTCTGGTCATTCTCATTTGACTTCTAGCATCAACAAGGCATTTGCATCCACAGAACTGACACTCATTGGATATTTTCTCTTTTTGGACCATTTTCTGTAAACCCTAGAGATAGTTGTGTGTGAAAATCCCAGTAGATCAGCGGTTTCTGAAATACTCACAGCAGCACATCTGGCACCAACAACCATGCACATTCAAAGTCACCTTAATCACCTTTCTTCCACATTTTAATGCTTGATTTAAGCTGCAGCAGATCATCTTGACTATGTCTGCATGTCTAAATGCATTGAGTTGCTGCCATGTGTTTGGCTGATTAGAAATTTGCATTAACGAGCAGTTGGACAGGTGTACCTAGTAAAGTGGCCGGTGAGTGTCTGTTCTATATAGCACAAAATTGTATATTTTCATTGTTTTTTTATTAGCAATGGTTTTTCATTTTACAAGTTACGATTTTTACCTATTTACCTTTCTTTTAATTTAAGGTAGTCTTTAAGTATAAATTTTCAGCACTAAAAAAAGAAAGTTATTATATGTGTAATTCTGAATTTGATATTGTTCGATTTTCCCAGACCTCTGGGTTCTGAGAATCTGCTGCTACGTGGAGCCACACTGAAAAACACAGAATACATACATGGTAAGAAAAAACATTTTGTATGTGGATACATGATATATAATGTATATAGTACAAATACCAGCATGATCTCACAAGGAAACGTATTTTACGTTTTGTCAGTTTAGTGGCTAATTTGTACGAGTGCAGTCGTACGAAAATGTACGATTTTAAAAAGGAGGCGTGGCACCTAACCCCACCTCTAACCCCAACCATCATTGGGTGATGAGCAAATCGTACTACATTGTACGAATTAGATTGTACGAATCCATTCATAGATTGTACGAATTCATAATTCATAGTAATTAGCCACTAAATTAAAAAGTTACGAATTGCCGTGAGATTGTGTTGTATATACTGAACAACGCACAATCCAGTTCAAGGCATATATTTAATTAGTTTTTGTATCGCACTGGAAACCTAAACTTACTGATGACGCCAAGATCCATCACTATAATAACCTGATACAGCCTACAAGGTAGAGGCAAGAGAATAAGAGAAGAGAGTTGCTGATGGAGTCGTTCTGTCACTCTGTTCCCACTGTAATTAAATGAGTCACTCAGGCTTGTGAGATCAGAGAGAAGTTCGTAATTGCTGGAGAGAGAGAAAGAAAGAGAGAGAGAAAGAGAGAGAGAAAGAGAGATGAATGTCACATTATACACGTGAGGATTCAAGACCGGGGCAAGCTGAAAAAAATGTTGAACTGTTTCAGCTGAGCTGCTATGATCCGCTACAGAATAAAAAGAGCTGTGGTAAATAGGAGCAAAGAAGCTTGTGAAAAATGTCGTTATTGTTTAACCACAAAATGTCTCACTGAGAACAAGCAATTGCAAACACAAGAGTTTTTTTTTGAAGATACAGTTGTCTTTGTATACAGTTGAAGACAGAATTCCCCCACAATTTTTGTTTGATGGAAAGATTTTTTCAACACATTTCTAAACATAGTAGTTTTAATAACTCATTTCTAATAATTTCAGATTTATTTTATCTTTGCCATGATGATAGTAAATAATATTCGACTAGATCTTTTTAAAACTCTTCTATACAGCTTAAAGGGGCTAATTTGTACTTTAAGATTTATTTAAAATTTAAAACTGCTTTTATTCTAGCCAAAATAAAACAAATAAGTCTTTTTTCAGAAGAAAAAATATTATCAGACATACTGTGAAAATTTCCTTTATCTGTCAAACATCATTTGGGAAATATATATATATATATATATATATATATATATATATATAAATATATATATATATATAAAAAAACCAAAGGGGGGCTAATAATTCTGACTTCAACTGTATATTTTGCAGCCAGTTTAGATGTCATTTTGTCCTCTCTGAGTAAAAAGAAAAGTTTATCTGAGTCGTTTAGATCAAAGAATTAATTATTTCATGTTTCTCTCGGTCTTGCAGCTGTGCAAGTGCTGTCAGCTGTGAAGCCAAGCTAAAGTAAATCAGGCTTAAAATAAAAAAGTCATGAAAAAATGCATACAATTAACGATGACTTTAGAAAGTGAAACCAAAAGCCAAATCCTGATTGATGCATTTTAAGTCCCAAAAAGGCACGTCTCTGTGGGTTTCTGCAAAGCACGTGAAATAGTTCGGAGTGTTTACAGTTCTCCCGCACACACAACGAGAAGTAGGAAACGTGTAGGCGGATCCAAAAAAAAGTGATGATAATAATAAAAAATAAATGTCACCAAATATACTTGGGCGGCTGTTAATATACCTGGGCGCCTTTCCCAAGGCTGATTAACCTTAAAATGGTTTTAAAGAAAAAATGAAAACTGCTTTTATTCTAGCCGAAATAAAACAAGTAAAACTTTCTCCAGAAAAAAAAAATATTATTGGAAATACTGTGAAAAATTCCCTGCCTGGATAAACATCATTTGTGAAATATTTAAATAAATAATTCTCTGGAGGGCAAATCATTTTGACTTTACCTGTATGTGCTATTTATGAATACATATGAGTGAAATATTTTTGAAGTACGTTCCTATTGATATTTTATATATATTTTAGCACACCTCAGTGACTAGGAACAGAAGGTTGTTCAACCATGACCTCCTGTTTCACAGGGCTATAAATATGAAGAAATGCACAGTCCAAAAACTCACTCAGTCATTCATCACAGTGGAGAAGAGCAAAGTCAGAGCAGTGATTTGTGACAAAAGGTTGTTTGTTGACAAAATGAGAATATAGCTGTATGAAAGTAGGCTTTTGTGCCTGTGCTTTGCTACTGAATGCGTCACTTTGTGGTACCATCCCAAGGGGGCATTAAATCAATCGCAAGAAAGATTAACCTTTAATGTTGCGTCCTGCTGGAATGACTTGCCAAACTACATGATCAGTCTATGACCATTTTCAAGAGCACGTCTTGATTTTGCCAAGCTCAATGTGTTCCTGAATTAACATCTATGTTGATCCTGGAACATAATTTTTGTTGGAATATGTAATACATACCTATTCCCTATTCCTAAACCCAACCATAACTGTAAAGTATTCCCAAAATCAGAGGAATAGTTGGATAACAATCATGTATAATCCATAAACTGTAAGCTTAAACTCAACATAAACGGTAAACGTATCCCTCAAATCTGATTGGCTGATTGGAATGTTGTTCCAGGTTCAACATTGATGTTAATCCATGAACATGTCCTACTTGGTAAAATCTGGTTGTCGTTTTCAAGAAATGTCTAAAAACTGGTCTGTTTCATCAGTACTTGCTAACAACAGACTCTATTTTTATTTATTTACACCAGAAACTTCTAAATTACAGTATCTGTTCTTTTAAACAATCCATATTTCTCTGAAAACATTGTCCAATTCTAAGTGTGCTTCATGCAGGTTAATGAGCTTGACAAACCACCCATAGGACACACTCTCTCCTCTCCGCGTGCACCAGACACTTTCTTATCAACAATTCACACTTCTGGAAACATTGTGCAGTTTTTACAACACATGTCACAACAAGATTCCCGAGACAAGCAATTTGACTGTCCGCACATGACATGACACGACACAAACATTTAGATATCAAAATCCCAGTAGATCAGCAGTTTCTGAAATACTCAGACCAGCCCGTCTGGCACTAACAACCATGCCACATACAAAGTCACTTAAATCGCCTTTCTTCCCCAGCAATGTGATTGTCTGATTCAAAATTTGCGTTAACGAACAGTTGAACAGGTGTACCTAATAAAGTGGCCGGTGGGTCAAAGATCAAAAGGTTAAATATTAAAGACATTTTTTCACAGTTTTCTTTCCTCATATTAACCAAGGGTGCCAACATTAGCAGAGGAAACTGTACACCTAAAAATTATTTTGCTGCTTGTTTAAAAAATTTAAATGAGCTGAAAAAACCCCCCAGCTCAATTAACATAAATTTGTTTAAACCATTAAGTTAAATTAATCGATTTGTGTTGGGACAACATGAAGGGATTGTGTGGAACCCAGCATTTATTACAGTTTATATAATGGTTTCTTTAATCATAACTAACTCTGTGGTTTCTTGTTTTTCTAGCTGTGGCCATTTACACGGGCATGGAAACCAAGATGGCCCTTAACTACCAGTCCAAGTCTCAGAAACGCTCCGCTGTTGAAAAGTAAGACACGATGATAGACATTCGATCAGTTTATCTTGCTGTCAGCATGTACAGCGTAATGCATTTAGTGTCCTGTTTGTAAAGCAAATTGTGGGCCTCTGTATTTGATGTCACAAATGGTATCAAGTTGCGCTCACATGTGTTTCTGCGACAGACGGATAAATGCAGCCATTAGGCAAATACATCAGATCTCTATTTATTGAATAAACAAGTGTACTTTCAGAGATCTATTTTCAGAGTTTCAGATGTCATTGACTTTTTAAATCAAATAAATGTTGATTTCCTTTTTTAGCCCTTTAAACGGGTAGTTCGCCTAAAAATAACAAACAATAGTCATCGATTTTACATTTTTTGAGTTTCTTTTTACAATTAAACAAAAAAGAGAATGCTTTTGAAGAATGTTGTATAGTTTTAGACTGACTTCCAAAGTATTTGTCCCTACTATGGATGTCAATAGCCACCTTTCAACATTCTTCGAAATATCTTCTTTTGTGTTCAACAGATAAAAACTCAGAATAAGTTTTAATAACCTGAGGCTGAATAAGCATGAAGTAAATTGCCATTTTTGCTTGAAATTCCCATTTAATTTAAATATTTGAGATAGTATTTGGATGTTGACTTTAGATTCCCTCTGGCCAAGTCACACTGGTTTAAGATACATGTCCAGAAAACATTAAACATGATTTTGGGTGTATCTCATCTGCTTGTTGTTTGCATCGCAGGTCTATGAACGCCTATCTGATTGTGTACCTCTGCATTCTGATCAGTAAAGCTCTGATCAATACTGTCCTGAAGTATGTCTGGCAGGCCGACCCGAACAGAGATGAGCCCTGGTACAACCAGAGGACTGAGTCTGAGAGGCAACGACATGTAGTATGTGCTATAAAAAATGTATTTTTTCTTCATGTAATTATTATTATTATTATTATTATTATTATTATTATTATTATTATCAAGGACAACACAAACACTTAATATAAACATACACATGGACATCACCTACTGTATATGCTATATAACTGCAGGTTTGTTGTATTAGTTACTAGTTAATTAGTTAAAGTTATTAGTAACTAATAAAGTTATGGTAACTAATAACCTTAGTTATAATAATAATATTAATAATAATAATTAATATTATTATTATTATTATTAGTAGTAGTAGTAGTAGTAGTATAGAATAAAATAAATAAATAAATAAATAAATAAATAAATAGATTTAAATAGACAATTTTTTTTTAATCAATTAAAAAATATATACATTGTGTCGAAAATGCGACAACCCAAACATCCCATGTTGTTTTGTGTCCTCAGTTAATCCGGGCTTTCACAGACTTCCTGGCCTTCATGGTTCTGTTTAACTACATCATTCCTGTGTCTATGTACGTGACGGTGGAGATGCAGAAGTTCCTGGGCTCCTACTTTATCCTGTGGGACGACGACATGTTTGATGAGGAGGTTGGAGAAAGGCCGCTGGTCAATACCTCGGACCTCAATGAGGAGCTTGGACAGGTAGCAGACAATTTTAGCCCACTTATAAACTGCTGTTTGGGTCACTGTTTGTTTACTATACTCAAAAAAATATTTGTTTTTGTTCGTTCAAACAACTTAATTCAAATGAGCTAAAACAACACAATTCTTTAGATTTCATGGGACAACTTAATTTTTTTTAATGTTCAATCCAAAAAATTTTGTTAAGAGTCCTAAATTAACTTAATCAATTTGTGTTGGGTCAAGGTCCAGTCAACATCAATGAATTGCGTGGAACCCTGCATTTTTTACAGTGGATGGCACTTGTTTTTCTGTTACAGGTGGAATATGTGTTCACTGATAAGACAGGCACTTTGACAGAAAATAACATGGAGCTGAGGGAGTGTTGCGTGGATGGACATGTCTATGTGCCACATGCCATCTGTAATGGGCAGATCTTACCTGGAGCTGCTGGAATGGATATGATTGACTCCTCTCCAGGTGTAGAGGGAAAGGTGAGCTTCTTGTTTTGATTATAGCTGATTTAGTTTAGTGAGAGGGGTCTGGCTGCAGACCTGGTGCAGTGCAATCTGGGCTCCATCCAATGCTTTTTAATGGGCTCACCTAACCCCACCCCTAACCCTACCCGTCACTGTGACGTCACTAGCTCCATTTGAGTGCATTGTGTCTGACATTGCATCGCTGAGTGATGCAGTCTCAGCTTGCATCATAAAGGCTGCATCCAGATACTATTGAGTTTAGTTTAGCTTAGCTTAGCTTAGCATAGCTTAGTTTAGTTTAGTTTATATATTTTTAAAATTAAATTCAATTTAATTTTGTTTTTTGCTTTAATTAGATAAAAAAATATTGTTATTATTTAATTTTATTTTGTGTATTTAATTTAATTTAATTTAATTTAATTTAATTTAATTTTATTTTATTTTATTTTATTTTATTTTATTTTATTTTATTTTATTTTATTTTATTTAAGTTATTCATTCATTCATTCATTTTCTTGTTGGCTTAGTTCCTTTATTAATTTAATTTAATTTAATTTTATATTTTTGGGCTTTAATTTAACTTAATTTAATTTAGCATTTTTAATTTTAAATTTAAATTTTATTTAATTTTCTTTCTTTTTTTGCATTAATTTAATTTGGTTTTAAATCTTAGCTAATTAAATTTTTTTTATTTAATTTTGTATTTATTTATTTTATTTAATTTCGTATTTTTTATTTAATCCAAAAAAGTCCAAAAAAGTATTTACTGTAAAATTAAAAACATAATTAAAATATGAAAACAATTGTCATGTAATTTTTTTTTTCCCCAAATTTTTTACCATCTAGTAAGTAGGTATTTAGTAGGTAAAGTTTACCTTAAGTTTTCCTGTCATTATTCAATTTAATGAATCAGTTTGACCAAATGCATTTTCTCCCACAATAATAATATTATATTCATCAAAGTAAGAGATGAGAATGTGTGGTTATCGGTGACTAGTTATGTTTCAATGCACAGAAATTGTCTGATATTATCGACGGCAAGTTTTAGCATGAATATTTTAGCCATGGATGGATGGCGTGATGGATGGATTTTAATTTTATCTTTGATAAATCAGCTTTGTGACGACGTGACACATTAATTCTGAAGATTAACTAAAACATCTGTGAAAGAATTTGTTAACTCGTCTCACATCTCGACAGTTGCAGTTTTAAATGTGATCTCTTTGAATATCAGTCAGGAAATTAGATCGGCTCAGTTTGTCCATTCTAATGAGATCATTAGGCTGAAGTGTCCTCATAATACAATTAAACTTCAGAGTTGGTTGTTGTTCAAATTTGTAATGTATCAGATGCATCCAAATATTTACAGGATAAATGGGTATTGACTGCATGTTGTTCAGACACTGATAGCCTTTCTGTCTCCTGTTATCTCTTCGTCTTTGTCACTTAATCTGGCTTTGTTAGTCTATCTATCTTCCTTTCTGCTGGTGTGAGAGGAATCAGACGAATGATTCTTGTCCAATTAGTCGACTCACTTTTATTTTCAAAGATTTTATCGAGGGGCTAATAATTCTGACTTTAATTGTATATCAAGTTGTTATAACAAAAACATCTCAAACAATGTCATCTTTGCATTTAAAAAAATTCAAAACTGCACTTCATAAAAGGTGTCATAAACATGCATACAATCTCCTTCATATTCGTGACACGTTATGTCATGATTATAAAGGTGTTATGACAGTCTTGAGAACACCACCTTCCTGTTTTTTACTCATTTTTACTCATTCATTTCATGAATCACTGATGACCATTGTTTCAGCTAAATATTTTCCTTAACAAAAAGTCAGCTTCAGTACATCATGGATGATTGAGGGTCAAAAGATTTAGATTTCTGGGTGAACTATCCCTTTAATGTCTTGATGTATTTTGTTGAAAAAGATCTGCAGGAGTCGTTCCTCACAACTGCATGCGTTTTGCCTGTACAGGAGCGAGAGGAGCTGTTTTTTCGTGCGCTGTGCCTGTGCCACACTGTCCAGGTAAAGGAAGAGGAGACGGTCGACGGCATTAAGAGAGGAATACATCAGGGCAAAGCCACATCTTTCTATATCTCCTCTTCTCCAGACGAGGTTGCGCTGGTGGAGGGCATGAAAAGGCAAGATGAATGCATATATATTACACACACAGACACAAAACAGGGCCACCATATTGCACTTTAGACACTGTCCTTCAAGGTTTGAGATACAGAGTCTCACTTTGGATGACAGAGCAATTTTATATTTCATTTTCCTGCCAAAACAGTCAGAACGCGTCGTGTAAATTATTACTCTGATCTAAATAAACCATTGTCAATAAATCATAAACCATTGTTTCATACCCTCACACCTATTCACACACACATTTATCATGTTTTACATATAGCTATTATAGATACTATAACATAACCCTACCAGTATGCAGTTTTAACAATAAATCACTTATTTAATGCGTATGAATAATCTTTATTTATTTATATATTACGTGTAAATCAATACTCTGATCATAAAACTCATATTATCCCTTTAAGTGTGCTATTTTTATGTTTCCTACACGTTTTTGAGGTCTCCTACAATATACTATACATACTGTAGTATATACTGTATAGCTTTTTGAGCCATTTATAACACAATCATACAAATCTAGAATAAATAATGCTCAGCAACAATCATAAAGAAACTTGTTTTTCTTTCTCTCACCTGCTCAGATTGGGCTTCACCTACCTCCGTCTGAAGGACAGTCACATGGAGATCCTTAACAGAGAGGATGAGATGGAGAGGTGAGCCATCTGGACAACAGCATGAGCTCAATGACCAACAGGAAACTGTAGCAGCATTTGCAAGTCCATCAGTCTGTCCAAAAATCTTACTTTACACTATCCAAAAAAAAAACTTACATGCATTAATAGGTTAAATATACGTTTTTATGTGATGTATATTTTTACCTACAAAAAAGAAAAAAATGCTTCAAGAGTTAAGACCTAGCTTATGATTAGTAATTAGCTTGTTTGGCATGCTGTCCCGGCAGAGAGCCCTGAGCTTATAAGTGAAACCAAGGGATGTGACACTGACAACAGAGGTGAGGATCCACATGCAGGTTTATTAGAATGGTCAGGCAAGCAGGGGTCAATATGGGGGCAAACAGATGTATGAGGGCAATCCAGAGTCGGAGAATCAGTCCTTGAGCAGCTTCAGCTGTGCGATTGTAATCAGTAGAGATTTAGAGCAGGTGTGTGTGTGTGTGTGGCATGACTGAATATGTAGTCCATTTGCAAGCAGACTTGTAGTCTTATGTGTGTGAATGTTTACCAGCGACCTCTGGTGGTTAGATCGCTGGTTATCATGACAATAAGATCCTTGAGTCCTGGGCTCCCTCCCGTTAGCAGGGCAAGAGGGGAGTTTGAGTTCAGGTAGATCTTGATGAACTCCCCTGACTTATTTCTGGCTAATGACAGATATAGGGATTGCTAAGGAGAGATATACGGCATACCAAGAGCTTGACTTTGATGTCAATTTGGTTTGTTCTATTTACTTAGGTTGTCTTTTTTGGAGAAACCTGGGGAAAACCCGTGCAAGCATGGGGAGCGAACTCTGCACAGAAATGTTGACTGGTTTAGTAGGGACTTTAACCAGAGACATTCTTGCTGTGAGGCAACAGTGCTAATTACTGGGCCACCGTGTCACCCATCTAGATAGGAGATGGGAGAAGAGATTCATCAAGATGAAGATACTGAGATAAGAAACTGCTTATTTATAGCGAATTAGAAATTATATGATTAGTGAATTGATCATAAGTTAATGCGGGACCAGCTGTGGACAATCATAAGCACGTGATCCTCTCGAAATTAGTTTATAAATAAACAGGGGATACAGGGGTCACAGGGTAACAAGAGTCAGCAAAGTGTGTGTGTGTGTGTGTGTGTGTGTGTGTGTGTGTGTGTGTGTGTGTGTGTGTGTGTGTGTGTGTGTGTGTGTGTGTGTGTGTGTGTGTGTGCGTGTGTGTGTATGTATTTGTGTGTGTGTGTATTTGTGTGTGTGTGTATGTATTTGTGTGTGTGTGTATTTGTGTGTGTGTGTGCGCTGTTTATATGGTCCATCTGATTAGTCCATTATGAGGTTTTGTGTGTGTAATTATGGGTGATCTGGAACTGGTGTGTGTGTGTGAGGTGCCACATGGGAGATGTAGTGCAGTTCAGTGGCAGAATTGTAGTCCGGATCATATAGTAGATGTCTATAAGGGCTAGATCGCTGGTGATCATGACACAGGGTAATTAGGATGCTTTAGAACTATTGGACTTTCTGGAAGGGTATAGAATTTTGGATTTTCCTATTGACTGTGACAGTTTGCAAAGGGTATGAATAATTTTGCCACTTTGTGTTCAAATGTAAATATAAGCTGAGAAGGACATTTTTCCCCACAATCATGCCTCTTGTTCATCATCTTATTATCTTTTGAGAGTCATTTCCGTTAAATAAAAGTTTCTGGTTGAATAAAAGTAACTTTAAGTCAGAATTTGCCAGGGGTATGAATAATTTTAGGGCTAAATAATTTCCAAATAGGCTTATAATTCCATACCAGATTTCGAGCACTTTAACTCACTTTAATTTAATTCTAGCATTTTAAAAAGGAAAGAAAGCTCAGTAAGAGAACAGTTTGCTCAGTTAATATATAATCATTTGCGTGTTTACAAATTAGGTTGTCATATTAATGCAACTGTGTTTTTTAAGATAACACTTTTAGGTAGTGAAGTTTCCCCTGTTCAGGCAGTGAGGGGACTGGTGTGAGTGCGTTTGTCTATGTGTGTATGTGTGTGTGTTCATGCCCTTGAAGGACAAGGACCAGCCATAATTAGTGCAGCTACACACTGTCCTACAGCTGAGAACATGAGGGTCAGCACAGAGCGCAGTCCCATAAAAAGTCTGTCCGTCTGTGATAAAGATGCATCCCAAATCACCCAGCAAACGCCATGCATTCCTCTGATTTATGCGAGCATAAATGTGGACATAGTCAGTTGTCAATTAACCTTTTAAATACAAAATATTTGCCTTTGTGTTTATGTGTTCACAGATTTGAGCTGCTGGATGTGTTAAACTTTGATTCGGTGAGGAGGAGAATGAGTGTAATCGTACGATCAAACTCAGGTAGAATGAACACACACTCTTACATTCATACATACATACTTGTGTAAACCATTTCAATGTGGTCATGTCATTGGCCCATGAACTTTTCCTGCTTGTTATCAAACAATTTTATAACGTTAACAAGAGGTGGTTCAGTCATAACTTAATGGTAAAACAGCTATCATAACATTATTTTTCTATATCTGGCTCTTTTTGGATTCTCGGAAGCTATAGAAACTAAAAATGTAAAACAGGAAATACGATGGGACCATTGTTTTTGTTTACATCCCTCAAAATGGTCTATACGTGGTTTACAGGGACACTCATTTGGCGTAATGCATTTTATATTGTAAAATTGGCTTTTTATATCTAACCCTAACGGCTTATTACATCCAACCCCAATGTTAAGGCGTCATGGTGGCGCAGTGGGTAACACGATCGCCTCACAGCAAGAAGGTTCCTCGTTCGAGTCCCGCCTGGGTTAGTTGTTGGCCCAGTTTTGGTGTGGATTTCATCCGGGTGCTCTGTTTTCCCCCACTGTCCAAAGACATGTGCTTTAGGTGAATTAATTAAGCTAAATTGGCCATAGTGTATGTGTGTGAATGCAGAAGTGTGTGGGTGTTTCCCAGTGTTGGCTTGCAGCTGGAAGGGCATGCGTAAAACACATGCTGGATAAGTTGGTGGTTCATTCGGCTGTGAGTAAAGGGTCTAAGCCTAAAAGACCCTGTTAAATATCTTTTTGAAGCTTTTTGAATTACAGGGACACACACAGTTGTACGTGGTGTTTCCATAATGATATTTATACTGTAGAAATTTTATATATCGATAATGCAAACATATCCCCTGACAGAAACCACCTGAAAGTTTTTTTAAGACATTGTTTAGGGTGGCACAGTGGCTTAGTGGTTAGCACTGTCACCTCAAAGCAAGAAAGTCGCTGAGTCTCGGCTGGGCCAGTTTCCCCCATGCATTATCATGCATGTCATGCACTATAGGTGAATTGAATAAACTAAATTATAGTATGAGTGTGATTGAGTGTGATTGACTTTTTTCCTATACTGGGTTGCAGCTGGAAGGGCATCCGCCCCATATGCTGGATTAGTTGGTGGTTCATTCTGCTGTGGCAACCTCTAAAGTAGAGACTAAGCCAAAGAAAAATGAATGAGTGAATGTTTAGTGTCTTTTAAGAATTTGAATAACAAAGACATGTCCTCATCAACCATTTACATATAGGTAGTTATAAATACTATAATCCTTAAAGAAAACGATATATTTTTAACAATAATACACTTTATTTGATTTTTTTTTAAATATATTTTTATGACCCTAAAAGTTTTTGTGTGAGTGTGTATGTGTCAGATTTAACTTACTTTTCAGCACAAATGTGTCCACAAAATTAAGTACACTAATTATAGACACTTATTTACTTTGTTAGACTTGATTCTGCTTTGTTATTTAGTATATAAAGCAAATGTAAATTTTATATATAATTATAAACTAAAGGATAACATTATACCTTTAAGAACAATACAAGTGGCAGTTTAGGGCGTTAATATAGTTTGATTAATTATTTGCTCTCATTTTTATTGCAGTTAATCTCTTTTTTTGGTCAATGATGTTCAGTAATAGAACAGAATATTATAAATAATATATTAAATTATTAAAATATTATAAACAACTTCTCATTTGTTTTCATCTTTTGAATTTCCTCTGCAAATGTTGATATATATAGAATTAATCATAATTATTTGCATTAATTCATTAACCTGTATCTCATGTAAGCCGATTGGCAGGTCTAATTATTCCCTTTATTTATGAATGCTTTTTTCCCCTATTTGAGAACATCCCCAAAGGGATTTAACGAATGTCTGGGGATAAATTTGTCCTCAAATGATAGCCGAGCAAACACACACACACACACACACACACACACACACACACACACACACACACACACACACACACACACACACACACACACACACACACACATGCACACACACACGCCCACTCATTCTAGACAGTCGCACATTCCACTGAAATTTCTCTGAGTCACCATGTGTGCCTAAATGGAGGGCCAGTTAATGCAAGTGGGTCAATGTGCTACTAGCATACAAATGAGAGCTGGATTTAGACATCGGCATGATTCCTCAATGCATTCAGTCACATACAATTGACCTGATAACTAATCTTCCCATTTTAAAAAAGCAATTAGGATGTTCTTGAATGTATTGCGGGCCCGACAGCATAACTAATATTCTCATTTAAAGTCAACACAAAATGACTTTTATGACCCACTTTTCGTGTACTGTCATAGTGTAGGGCATTTCAGAGAGAAAAAGGGTATGAAATAGAAAAGCTGAAACACAGAGGTCATATGATGCTTTGTTATGTGTGTGTTTGTGCTTGAATAAAATCTGTGAAGCTAAAGAACTAATAATGGGGACACCAATAATGGAACTATTTTATCTAACATAGAAGGCCGTTATGTTGTCGCCATGTAAGACTTGATTTACGTGGTCTGCATTGTTAGAATGTGACTCGAGCTTAAGATCATATAACACCTTACTAGTACCGGGTTGAACCCACTTTTGCCTTCAGAACTGCCTTATTCCATTGTGGCATAGATTCAACAAGGTGCTGGAAATATTCCTCTGAGATTTTGGTCCATATTGACATGATAGCATCATGCAGTTGCTGCAGATTTGTCGGCTGCACATCCATGATATGAATTTGTCGTTCCACCACATCCCAAAGGTGCTCTATTTGACTGTGGAGGCCATTTGAGTACAGTAAATTCATTGTCATGTTCAAGAAACCAGTCGGAAATGATTTGCGGTTTATGACATGGCGCGTTATCCTGCTGGAAGTAGCCATCAGGAGATGAGTACACTGTGGTCATAAAGGGATAGACTGCTGAAGCCTGAACTGCTGATACAAGGCAGGATGGATCCATGCTTTCATGTTGTTGATGCCTGGTTCTCTACTATCCAATGTTGCAGCAGAAATCGAGACTCATCAGACCAGACAACGTTTTCACAATCTTCTATTGTCCAATTTAGGTGAGCCTGTGCGAATTGTAGCCTCAGTTTCCTGTTCTTAGCTGACAAGAGTGGCACCTGGTGTGGTCTTCTGCTGCTGTAGCCCATCCGCCTCAATGTAGGACGTGTTTCGTGACATCTTTTTCAGGCCATTCTCTGTAAACCTGTAAAAAAGAGATGGTTGTGCGTGAAAATCCTTGTAGATCAGCAGTTTGTTAAATACTTAGACCAGCACATCTGGCACCAACTACCATACCACATTCAAAGTCACTTAAATCACCTTTTTACCCCTTTTTGATGCTTGAATTGCTGCCATGTGATTGGCTGATTAGAAATTTGCATTAACAAGCAGTTGGACAGGTGTACCTAATAAAGTGGCCGGTGAATGTATGTAATGTATATGTTATAAATTTAAATATCCATGTAACAAAATAATACACATACATAAGATATAAGCTTAGACAATTGTAGTTTCTTCAGATCTTTAGTTTGTTTGCTTGGCTAGTGTGAAACAATGTGCATTTTCTTTGCTTATTTCAGCATTTTTAATTTAAGATCTTACATTTTTACACAAAGAAAAACTTGAACTGATTGGCCAATCACAATACACTTACTCAGCTGGCCAGTCAAAGCACTTGAGGCTTTCAGAAGGAGGGGCTTTGTAGAAACTACAACTCAATCGCATTTATTCATTCATTAATTCATTGTCTTTTCAGCTTAGTCACTTTATTAATCAGGGGTCGCTACAGCAGAATGAACTGCCAACTTATCCAGCATATGTTTTACGCAGCGGATGCCCTTCCAGCTGCAACCCATCACTGGGAAACACCCTTACACTCTTATTCACACACATACACAATGGACAATTTAGCTTACCCAATTCACATAGCACAATCTTTGGACTTGTGGAGCACCCGGAGGAAACCCACACAAACACGGAGAGAACATGCAAACTCCACACAGCCATGCCAACTGATCCAGCCGAGGCTCGAACCAGCAACCTTCTTGCTGTGAGGCGACATCACCACCCACTGCGCCACCGCACCGCCCACAATACAATCTAAATGTTTTAAACAGAGAATAGAGGTAGTGCAATGATTCCCAGTATGTGTAAAAAAAAGTGCTATTAAATGCATTAAAACTTGTAACTTGTAGTAAACAAATAAATAAATACATATCATATGGTCTACTGTTTTGAATTAATAGCTGTTATAGATTTATTGAAGGAAGTTTTTTTGGATAGTTGCTAATTATTTTATTCTTCAATTGTTTGTTTGCTCTAGGCGAGTACTACTTGTTCTGTAAAGGTGCCGATTCCTCTGTTTTCCCACGGGTGGTTTCTGGGAAGGTGGAGCAGGTCAGAGCGCGAGTCGAGCACAACGCTGTGGTGAGCAGAAATTGGAAACATCTTCATCTTCTTTCTTATTTTAGCAGAGCTATTTATAGGTCACAAAAGCACCTTCCTACATCTTGATGAAGAAAAAAAAAAGCTCCTCCCAAATGTTTGCTTATGCAACTTTTGTTTAGCTTGAGCACCATCCTGAAAGAGAGCCTAAAAGGACCTGAAATATTCCTGAAAATTAGAAAGAAAGAAAGCGCAAAAACCAAAGCTATGTTTACTCAAATACTCAAAACATTATGCAATCCTTAGTGTGCCTCACACAGGTGAGTGGGCTTGACAAATCACCTGTAGAAAACAGACTTTTTCATCTCCCTGACACTTTCACCGACACTTGAACCAATTTTTTATAAATTTATTTTTTTGCATTTATGAAGTGTAACTAAAGGCTATATTTTAACGATCTACTGTAGGTGCAAAGTCTAAAGCACATGGCGCAAAAGCATTAGAGGCGTGTCCGAATTCATTTTTGCTATCTTGATCTGCACCCTGGCGCATGGTCCAACATGGTTGTGCTTATACTCTTAACGAGTTATGGGTGTGTTTTGAGTATAATGAGTACTAAACCAATCAGATTCTCATCTCTCATTCCCTTTAAAAGTCAGTTGCGTCATGCCATGGCACATTTGCTATATGCATGGCAGACTTTTTAAGTGGACAAACTGAATGCTTCATTAGCGAGAAAACAGTGAAACAAATCATCTGCAGCGCATGGATAAAGAATGAGCCTCCTCCATTTGGCCTCTTTACTTTCTTTTTACTTTACTTTTATTCTTTACTCCTTTACTTTTGTGATTAAGAAAATGGTGTTGTACGCACTCCACTGAAGACATCATTAGGCTACATATTTAATTTTGTTTGTTATGTGCAAAGATTTGTTTTAAAACTATTTCTAAATTCAGTTCTAATTTCCAGCCAATGAATAAATGAACAATACATTTAACATACATTTAACACCTCCTTTCTAGTCCAGCACACCCATGAGTCCACAAAGTGGAGCAAATGGATTTAAACAATGTGGCGCAAAACGTGAAAATACTGTTGTGCTGGTCTGAAAATAGCAACAAATTGTGCCCTACACGTCTTGAGGCTCATTGCGTCTGGTGTATGATAGAGCTCTAAGATTTTCATAAATAAAAAAATGGACTTAAAAAAATTTACTACAATGCAAAAGCCATTATCTTTGTGTTCTGAGGCTAAACTAATTTATTATATAAGAAAAAAAGGCCACAGTGGCTCTTTTCCTACTGCAGAAAATTCAATCTTTCTTTTTGTTATTTGCCGCCATTTGTTTTAGGAAGTGACTTGATTTGTTCTCTTTGACTCATGGGATAGAAACGGTGCTTCATTCGCTGATGTTTTATGCGAAGTTCCAGTTTTGCGCATGTTTAATTCGCTTCTTTGAATGGAAACATAGCTAATGTCTCCATTGTCTTTCTATTAATGCTTTACCATTGCAGATTATCTCATTAGCTTTCATAAGAGGGATGAGTGTTATAAACAACTATTAATTAGTTAGGATCTCGATGTAGCTTCAAAAAGTCCTTTCCTGTTTATGATTCGATGAAATGATCTTAAACTCCTCATTTAATGAAATCATCTCGAGAAAAGCAATGTATTGTGGTCGCAGGCATGAGGAATGTATCTGATGTCTTAGACTGACACAGCTCTATGTTACTTTATTGTGTTTCTCAGAGATCTGGGTCAGGAATGACATCACTTTAGAAAAGGGTTTGGTTGCACTGGCGTCTGTGCTGATTCATGACTTTGCTTGGCATAGTGAAAAGGTTTCTGTAGTGACAGACACAATAGACTCGGTGTTCTCAAGACTGTTTGAAGGAGCCCAAGCTGACATTTCTATCACCAGTGATAATAGGGATGTTTTTTTTTTTTTTTTGAATCATTGTAATTCTTTAAAAAATTATAAATGTTATATTATTATCCTCATGTCTTCCTCAATAATTATTGTAAAAAGCACTATACAAATTAACTGGAATTAAATAAAATAAAATTAAATAAAATAAAATAAAATAAAATTAAATTAAATTAAATTAAATTAAATTAAATTAAATTAAATTAAATTAAATTAAATTAAATTAAATTAAATTAAATTAAATTAAATTAAATTAAATTAGCAAACACTCAAAATACCCTAGAAACCGCCCAACACATTAGCAACGACCCAGAACACCCTAGCAATGGCTTGGCAACCACTCAGATCACACTAGCAACCACCTAGCAACACCTTAGCAACCTGTCCACCACCTAAGAAACATGCCTAGAAACAACTAGAAACAAGCTAATATATGCACCTATTTATCTATGCCAACTATTTCAGGCTTGTTTAATACTAGTTTAATTATTTGAACTTGAATTAATAATATGTTAATTGAAACTACTTCAAACCTTCAGACTGGGCTTTCTCAAGCCTCCATAAAGTTTGTCAACAATTTATTTCTTTATTTCGAAAAATGTAACCAATGAAACTGGTATCCATTGACTTCCATTGTATTAGTTTTTTTTCCTCTGTCGATGGTTACCAGTTTACAGAATTCTTCAGAGTATCTTGTTTTGTGTTAATCAGAAAACAGAAACTCTTAAAGGTTTTGGAAACCACTTAACGGTGAGTAAATAGTGAGTAAAGGTTAATTTTTGGGTCCCTTTAAGTGGAACCCATAAGGAGATGTTTTGCAGAATGCTCACGCTGCTCTTTTATGTGCACAAACAATGCCCAGTGGATATTACATTTTAAAAAAAGACATAAAGGGGATATTTGTCTGCATAAAAAGTGATATATGACATAGTAATCTGTGCATAATCCATGTGGGCTGTTGTGGTGTTGATGTTATTTGAGCTCATGGCAAATCAAATAATTAAAAATGTTAACTTCAACTACATTACAATTTTAACTCACCATTTGCAAGAAGCTAGCAATCCTGAGAATAAATATATATGTGTGTAAATTCCTTTTTTTGTCTGCAAACAAAGCTGCCATTATGCCAAACCCTCTCATCTCGAAGAAGGAGGCCATTGTGTTTACAACTGTGACAATTGCCACTTGTCATGATAATACTTTTCATGACCATGACTCTGTTCAACACAAACTGTGATTGGCTGCTTTACATGTACATGAAAACAGTGTCGGAGTGCAGACCAAAAGCAAAACTATACATCCATCTTTCAATGTAAAAGAGCAGCATGAACATTCTTCAAAATATCTCTATTTGTTGTATTGTAGAGTAAAAAAAATGGTATTGGAGTCAATAGTGCCAACATTTTCACTTTTCTTAGCACAGCTATTGTTCATTACATTATGTTTATGCTAAGACATATGTTTTCTTATAGGAATTTTCTAAACTTTTTTTTTTAAATCTTGCCCCTGTAGGAAGGTTTACGGACCCTCTGTGTGGCTTATAAGAGACTGTCTCAGGAGGAGTATGAAGAGACGTGTCGTCTGCTCACCAGCGCTAAACTAGCTCTGCAGGAGCGCGACAAGAAACTGGCTGAAGCTTACGATGTCATTGAAAAGGATTTCATCCTGCTGGGAGCCACGGCTGTGGAAGATAGGTAAATCACTGCCTGATTAACATTCACCAAATACCGCCTGAGTTTGACTGACTTGCTTTAAAAAAACACTTGCACTCAAGTGAATCAAACTTTGGATTTTAAAGTGCAGAAGTTGTCTGAGTGCTATCCAAACCGTTTTGTGATCAGTGTGAGTAAAATCTGGAATGCATGTTTAGGAGATATTTTAAATATACTGTAGGATATATGCATTTCAGATTCCACTTTTATGCAAATTGAAAAATAAAATACCGAAAATACATTTAAAAAATGCAATTTGAGGGTTTTTTCTTTAGTAATTTGCAACTAGTTTTTTTTTCATTTACTGTGATTGAAAATTAGGGTTTTCCCTAGTTTAAACACTGATACTGTGTTGTCAAAAACTTGTGCTGGGCAAAGGTTAATTAATCAACTGTATTTGTTTTTAAATAAATCATTTCCAGTGAGGAACAAGGCTACCAAAGTTTGCACTGTACCATTAAAACAGGCGTATCAGGTCACACTACAGAAGCTGATGCAGATATTTCCTTTTAGTGCTAAGAATTACAGCCCTATTCCCTATCCCCGGAGCCAACCACACCATCAAAAAAATCCATATGGTTGGAATATATAGAACTATGACGTCCAACTCACTCACAACCAAGTCCAATATTGCTTTCCAGCGCAATAAAACCATCCGCATGTTAATAATAACTTAACGTTTTCCATAAAGTGCATCTTGCATTTGCCTAAATAAGCAAGGTGCGTTTTCCTGAACTGAAATCGAGCACAAATGTGCATTAGCAGTATTAGATTTTTTAACTGGCTGAATGCCAACTTCCGTTTGGCCGAATAACGGGACGAAAGAGAGCTACAGATCCAGCGTCCCCCGACTGAAGCCCACGTGAGCACCCGCGGCCCTGACAGAACCAGTGTGAGTTAACGTTAATTGCACAGGCAATCAATAGAGCCCATCCGTTAGGCTCCGGTGTCCTGATAATGAGCATCTAACGTAATTAGACCCCCTCTTGAATCAATCGGGGGGCCGGCAGACACGCTTCTGATGAACTGCTGTTTAGGCTTATGCACTTATGGAGGCCGTCCAACCCTCGCGTTATAAATAAACACATCAATCCACGTCTGCCAACTTAATGAATATGACAGAGCAAACAAACAGTGATTACTGGACGGGAACTTATTTTGTCAGGCCTCTGTTGATTAGATGCAATCAGTGGCCCCCGTAGGCACCAGCCTGTGTGTGTCTTCAAGAGGTCACTCAAGATCATGCGCTATCGTCAAATATATGGGAGGATAATTTGATGAGGATCGCTGACTTACTGCATAAGCAAAGAATTATGTCAAAACAACGTGAATTTGCATTAATTGCTTGCTAAAGGTGCAGTCACATCAACCAAATTTCGTTTGTCAATTTTATAGCCAGAGTGACACGGTGGCTCAGTGGTTAGCACCTTCACCTCATAGCAAAAAGGTCGCTGGTTTGAGTACCGGCTGGGTCAGTTTGCATTTCTTTGTGGAGTTTGCATGTTCTCCCCATGTTTGCGTGGGTTTCCTGCTGCGGTTTCCCACACAGTCAAAAGACATGCACTATAGGTGAATTGAATCAACTAAATTGGCCGTAGCGTATGAGAGTGTATGGATGTTTCCCAGTACTGGATTGGAGCTGGAAGGGCGTCCGCTATGTAAAACATATGCTGGATAAGTTGGCGGATCATTCCTCTGTGGCGACTCCTGATGTATAAAGGGACTAAGCTAAATGAATGAATGAATAAATGGATTTCTATTTAAAAATCTGGCAACGTGATCACACCCAGGTTCAATTCAATTTTAGTACTAACAGATTAATAATACAGTAATAGATAATTTTCTACTTTATTAATAGTTTTTATTTTATTAGTAGATATGTCTGTATAGTTGTGATTTTTATTGTTCTATTTTAATCTTAATTTAAAGCAAAAGAAAATGAAATTCAACGTTTGAAATTATATAGATTTCAGTTTTAAAAATCTGGCAACATGATTGCACCCAGGGTCATTTTTATTTCAGTACTAACTAAATGCTAGATTTATTTTTAATTATTATTATTAGTTTTTATTTCATTAGTAATTCTATTTTCAAAGTTGTAATTATTATTGATTTGTCAGCAAGGAAAATGAACAAAACTAGCTGAAGAAAAATACTATAGTTTCAAGACAAGAACAGAGCCAGACTTAAATGTAAAACTACAATAGATTCTATGCATTAAACTGTATAATTAATTACATTTTTTTTAAAGTTTAATTTTTATCAGCATTAAATTACTGGTGACGCGGTGGCGCAGTAGGTAGAGCTGTCTCCTCACAGCAAGAAGGTCGCTGGTTCCAGCCTCGGCTGGGTCAGATGGAGTTTTTGTGTGGAGTTTGCATGTTTTCCCTGCGTTCGCGTGGGTTTCGTCTGGGTACTGTAGGTGAATTGGGTAAGCTAAATTGTCCCTAGTGTATGAGTGTGAATGAGTGTGTACGGATGTTTCCCTGAGATGGGTTGCAGCTGGAAGGGCATCCGCTGCGTGAAACATGTGCTAGATAAGTTGGCAGTTCATTCCGCTGTGGCGATCCCGGATTAATAAAGGGACTAAGCCGAAAAGAAAATGAATCAATTAATTAAATTACTAATAAATTATATATATATATATATATATATATATATATATATATATATAAATTATAAATATATATATATTTTTTTATATAAAGTATACTAATCATTCATGTAAGGCCAGGAATGTGTAAACAACAGGTGTCACACTGACTATAAGCCAATATTTTTATAACGAATGGTTACAAAGCCAAAACTGAATATTGGCAAAATCAGATGAAGGAATGACATGTCAATTGAAATGCTGGGATTTCTTTAAACTTGAGTATAGAATGCCTCTGAGTGAAGTTATTCAAGTGTGTATTATTGGAGTGCGGTGTGGTTTGTTCATGAGTGTGTGTCTTGCTGCGTGGCTGGGCTGTGAGTGAGGTGCAGTGACTGGTGGACTTGTAATTATCTGGCACTGTGAATCCTGACTGCTGGGCTTCTTAATTACGGAGTGAAGTGGGCTGAGACTCCACACTGCGGTAGAAGACCTTCCCGCCAGCGAGCCATGCAGAGCACTGTCCATTAACCCTCACTCCGGCACTGCGCAAAGACGAAACACACGCCAAACCTTGATGATGTTACTGGACTATTCAGACTATCAAAACAAACACTGCGAAATTTTCACTTGTGTATTTTATGCAGTAGTTTGTCTACTGTACAGTTCTTCCACGGGCAACAGATACTGTAACTTAATCTCCTAAACCAGGTTTCAGAAACATTTGTGTAGAATTATTTTCTTTGATAATACCATGAACAAAGGTGAAATGTTCTTTATTGTTATTTTCGTGTTTCAGGCTGCAGGATAAAGCTGCCGACACCATTGAGTCCCTCCACAAGGCTGGCATTAAAGTTTGGGTTCTGACAGGAGACAAAATGGAGACGGCGGCAGCCACATGCTACGCTAGCAAGTTGTTCCATCGCAATACACAAATCCTGGAACTGACGACCAAGCGGACAGAAGAGCAAAGTCTCCACGATGTGCTGTTCGACCTGAGCAGGACCGTTCTGAGGCAACACGGCAGCATGACCAGAGACACTTTCTCAGGGTGGGTCTGCAGAAAAAATGGTACACATTCATATATATATATATATATATATATATATATATATATATATATATATATATATATATATATACAGTTCAGTCAAGCTAAAATTATTCAAATTCTGACTGGAAGTTTTTGTTCAAATGTAAATAAAAGCTGAGGATTTTTGTCCACAATGATGCCAATTGATCTTCATCTTATTATCTTATGAGAGAAGGCTGTGTCAATTTCGGTCAAAAAAAAACAAACTATTTGCTGGTTGAATGAAGTAACTTTAAGTCAGAATTTGCCCGGGGTAGGAATCATTTTGAGCTTTACTGTATACACTTCAAGGTTTTTAAAGTTTTTAATTTTTACATTGGTTTTTATTTTGATACTATTTTTAAATTTGCTGTAAATTTTAGTTTGTTTTATTAATGGTTTCATTAGTTTTAATTGAATCTTTATTTATTTATTTTCTGTTTTAGTTTTAGCTTCTTGAGTTAACAGAACACTTCTAGTGTCAACCAGAGCAAACGTTAGTGTTTGCACAGCTTACATTAACTCTTGTGCAAACCTCTTAGTAATAAATGGAAAATAATGTATAAAATAAAGTATTTTTATTATTTAATTAAATTCATTTATTTATTTATTTTAAATAAGAATAGTTAGATAGATCTTGGTTAGATTTTTTTAGAATTTTTAGAATTTTTTTAGAATTTTTAGATATTTGGACTAGAAACAAGAAAAAAATCTAAATAAGAAAAGCATTTGTTTTTGCAGCGCAAAACCACCACAGAAATTCAGCTTGAGCAAATAAAAGTAAGAATTGTGAAGACTTCAGACAAACTTCTTTATATTAAAGATTGTGTATGTAGTTAAACTTGCCTCATTTACATTATTTGGCAACTGAAGAAATGTTTTATGTTTATATAGAAAATATGATTTTGTCTGTACAAATAAATCTACAGATGTTTCCCTGTTTTCTACCACAGAATCAGTGCTTATTAATGTTAAAAGAGAATATTATTTTCTATTATTATTATTTTATTTCATTTCATTTGTTCAGTAAACTGTTGTTAACTAAATTTTACATTTTTTGTTTAGTTAAAGAAAACGTTTTTGGCCAATAGCTTTGGTTTTACACACTGAGACCCTTACACTTGTACATGCTTCTACAGGCTCTCCGGTGATTACCAGGACTATGGTCTGATCATAGATGGAGCGACACTGTCAGCTGTGCTAAAGCCGACACAGGACGCAACCAGCAATGGTGGAAACTATAAGGAGATTTTCCTGGAGATCTGCAGGAACTGCAGCGCTGTACTCTGCTGTCGCATGGCACCTTTACAAAAAGCACAGGTGATGCAGCACTACAGTCAGATCACTCAGGACTCTGTGAAGACTAGAATATTAAAGTATAAGAATAGCACTAAAATACAATTACGAATGAGACTTGATGATTTAATATTTATACATTTAATGTTTGATCATTTAGTTGACTAAAAGTACAGCAACTTTCTTGGAAAATAGTTTACTGGAATTAAATTACCAGTACATTGTCTGTAAATATACAGATACAAAATAATTTGCGTTATAAAAATCAAGAAAAGAAACTACAGCAATGGACACTCTGTAAAATTTCAATATTGACAAATACATTTAAATGTAAAATTTCCTAAATTAGCATTTTATATGTGTGTGGAACATTTAAATTACAATGATTCCTTTGGCATATTGTGTGTTTTTTTATTTTTTATTTGGTTTGTTTGTTTTTTGACCAAATTATATTACATTAATAAACACTTTGCTTAACACTAATTTTAGGCTTAAAGGGTTTTAAAAAATTCCAATTCTGTCACCATTTAGTCACCTTTCATTTGTCACAAACTTGTTTGGAAACCACTGACATCCAAATTGCAGTCATTGGTTATTGGTAAGCCCACACGAAATCATTGAGTCTATCTATTTACTTGTGTAAATGTGGGTACATTTATGTTTATTCAGTTTTTGAATTAATTTGAGTAATGTTATTGACCAATATGAATGTGTTCATTTGATTTATTTACAATGCAGTTTGTAAAGTAATATTTTCTGTCGTTTAGTAGATATATTATATGAGAGACTTGCTTTGTTTACCAACTAAGTGGATCTAATTAGATTTGCATTGTAAACCTTAAATAAAGATTTAAAAAGGTTTTTTTTTTTTTATTTAATTTACGATAAAAGTTTTGATAGTTCTAAAATAATTCTGCATTAATCCGCAGATTTTTTTTTACAAAATTCTCTGCAGAAATAGCAAAAAATGTCCACAGATTCTGTCTGGCCCTAGTTATTGGTTTCTACACAATGAGGATGTGTAAAATTAAATTTTTGGGCATTGTTTAGTAAAGTTACCTCTAAAAGTAATATATTACAGTCTTAATCTTTAAAATCACTTACTTTTAAAAGTAACTAATTAATTTTTAAATGTGACATAAGATTGCAACTCATTCATTCATTTTCTTTTGGGCTTAGACCCCTGTATTAATCAGGGGTTGCCACAGCGGAATAAATCCACACGAACACAGGGAGAACACACAAACTCGCACAGAAATGCCAACTGACCAAGCCAAGGCTTGAACCAGAGACCTTCTTGCTGTGAGGTGATTGTGCTACCCACTGCGCCACCATAACACTCAAGGATTGTAATACATTACTTTTCACTTTACCCAACAGTGTTTTTGAGTGAACTATAAGTGCATGCACTTAATAAGTAGGCAGGTGCAAGTAGTAATATTGTGGTGCGCTGCTCCTGTAATTTCCACAATAAAGAGTCAGAAGAGAGACAGTGTTTATATGACATGTAAATACCTCATTAACTAGTTGTTCGCTTTGCTTCCATATGCACTCACTGCGTATCATTAACACACATATCATAATGACTCTGTAGTAATAAGTGAACTGTATGAGAAGAGATAACTACTTAATCTATGTAAACATACTTTTAGCATAAGCAATATTTAGCAGCTGTTTTAGTCATCTCCATTGTGAGCTCCAGTGATTGAGTAATTTAGGGTTTGGGTGTGGACTGTATTCGGGAACATTTTGTCCCTACAGTGATGATAAACACACACACACACACACACACACACACACACACACACACACACACACACACACACACACACAAACACAAAGCCACCTGCCAGGGAAGGTTGTCCTCATTCGCTTATTGTACTCTCTCAACGTGTGCGATTCTCAGCACAGCACAATCAGAACAGACCCTGCTCTCTTTCTCTTTCTCGTTTACTGCGTGCTAAACCTGTCAGTCACTCTCTGGGCTGCTGGGAAAAGTGGACTCTGTAAAGGCAAGAAGAGACAGAACTCAGCATTACAAGACAATTACTGACATCAAACGTACACCTAAATCCTGTGTACTAAATCACACGTGCTAAAAGACAAACTGATATTTGACTTGCTTCATATATCATGTGCATTAGTGACACTTTTTAAAGAATGATGGTAAAATGGTGGATATACAGATATGGAAAAAAATAAGAGAAATAAGTTCTCACTTTCTATGAATCTATACCATACCTTGGGTTTGAGTAAGGGGGCAGCATGGTGGCTCAGTGGTTAGCATCTTCGCCTCACAATAAGAAGATTGCTGGTTCGAGTCTCAGCTGGGCCAGTTGGCATTCCTATGTGGAGTTTGCATGTTCTCCACGTGTTTGCGTGGGATTCCACCAGGTGCTCTAGTTTCCCTCACAGTCCAAAGACATCCAATATAGGTGAATTGGGTGAACTGAATTGGCCGTAGTGGATGAGTGTGTGTGTGACTGTCAAGCTCTGACAAAGTCCCATACATCAATAGTCTTCTGATCTTTCCTTTAACAAACGGCCAAAGAATCCCCCGTTGTAAGCATGTAGATTGCTGAAGCACTCATCAGAAAAATGATGGGAGCACAGCACAAAGCTGTGGCTATAATGCTGAGGTATTTTCACAAAAATAAACATCAACCACTGGCTCTTCATAGCCTCATCTTTGGGTAGGGAAAATACTGTATGCTAACTTTCCCTCACACTTCAGAGCACAGTATCTTCACGACATGATTCAGCCAGGATCTGCGACAGTGTTTGTCTTCCTCTTTTTCTTTCTACAGTGTTTTTGGGCGGAACCGAGGGTTCAATTTTCCTGGGTCTGTGCATGCGACAAATTGGCGGGGCTTGAGTTCTGTATCGATGTCACGCCGACATCGCTAAAAATGAGTTGCAATGATTATTCATTGGAACCACTCCGAGTCGACTCTTTTATAGATGAATTAATTATTTTAAACACGGCGCACTTTCAGATTTAAACTTCACCTGGATATTCAACTTCACTTTAAGCTGTCTTACACACTGCATGGAAGGTCATTTTCAAAAACTCATAATAGGGGCTCGTTAACAGTAGTTCACAAAATAAAATAAATATTTCATTTTACTCAAGAAATTGAAAATTGTCAGACAGTCACCAGTGGTCTGTGAATGAATTTTGGAAATTTCTGTAAAGCATCATGGGTTACGTAGTTTCTATCTACAAATGTCTCTATTAAACAATTATTTGGTCACACATTATTTTGATGGTCTGCTTGTTGAATTTAAGTGAATTACAGTGCATCTACAAGCCAACTAATTCTCATTAGATTATAAGTAGACTTTTAGGTTGGGGCTAGGGTTAGAGTTAGTGCAAGTTGACATGTACTTGCAAAGTTTCTTATAGTCAGTTAAATGTCTGTTCAAGGAGCAGCATCAACCGATACAAAGTAGACAGTCTACTAATACTCAAATGGACCAGCAAAATAAAGCGTTACCAATTATTTAAACAAAAAGTTAAACATGTTGCTCCAACGTAAGTACATACACTCGATTATCAACCTCAAAACTCACAACAGGTGTGCCTTCAAAGGTTTACCAGTTATTAACAACAAACAAGGGGAGACACCGTGGCTCAGTGGTTAGCACTGTTGTCTCACAGAAGGTCCCTGGTTCGGGTCCCGGCTGGGTCAGTTGGCATTTCTATGTGGAGTTTGAATATTTTCCCTGTGTTTGCGTGGGTTTCTCCGGTCTCTGGTTTCCCCCACAGTCCAAACACTGCTATAGGAAAATTGAATAAACTAAATTAGCCATAGTTTATGTGTGTGTGTGAATGAGTGTGTATGGGATGTTGCCCAGTATTAGGCTGCAGCTGGAAGGGCATCTGCTATGTAAAAAATGGCAGAATAATTGTAGGTTCATTCTGCTGTGGCCCCTGATGAATAAATGGACTAAGTTGAAGGAAAATGAATGCATAAACAACAAGCAAATGTTTCCCTTTGAAATAAATGGATGAGTTTTTTCCTCTTGCGCTCTCCGTTATCCTGTCACCTCAGTCACACTCAGCCAGAAAGCCTGATTAATCATCTAATCTCTCTGTTGTTCTGCTTTGAACTGTAGAAATGAAACTGTTCTTTCAGATTGTTAAGCTGATAAAAGCATCAAAAGAGCACCCCATCACCCTGGCCATCGGGGACGGAGCCAATGACGTCAGCATGATTCTGGAAGCTCACGTGGGCATAGGTGATTTTTAGGAACGCACACAAAACCAAATAATTTTAGGAGTTATTACTTCTCTCCAATAATGTTGCCAAGATTAGTGATATTAATTAGTACTAAAATATTTGAAATAATACAATATAGCTTTTTGGAATATTGATACCTGAATTTATTTAGAATTTTCCACAGTGAACTCCATGAGTACAGTTTAACTATCAAGGACAGTACATGATAAACAACTCAATACTTTGGCTAATTGTTGACAGCGCAAGTTAAAATTTGAACAGCTGGACTAGTACTATAAAAAAATTTAACGTTGATTCATGCTTGAGGTTCGATCCCTGGCAAATAAAAAAATGAAAAACATGCAAAAAAAATTTGACAAATTTTATAAATGCTGTTGTAATATTTCCTTGTGCTATCGAAAATGGTATTGAGTATCGATATATATATATATATATATATATATATATATATATATATATATATATATATATATATATATATATATATATATATATATCGATATATCGATACGCAAAAAAAAAAATTTCTTTTTTTTGCGGTATTGAGTGAAGTTAGAAATTAAGTATTGTGATAACACTAATCTCTACAGTTACAAAATTATTAGCACTGTAAAAATCTTATTAATTTAAAAATATTTCCTAAGTGATGGCGATGATGTTATTTTTGTAACAGGTTTTTAAACCTAATAATTAATTATAATATTTATAATATTTATATTAATTTTATTATACTAATTAATAGTTTTAATAATTAGTTTTTTTAATCTTTTTTGTCTTTGTCAAGTCATCGGACACTGTGGTTTGTTCTGTAGCCAACTGAAGTAAACATCACTTACACTGTAAAAACCTGCCCTGTAAATGAACAGTAAAATACAGGCAGCTGGTGTGTTATTTTACAGTATGTTACTGTAACTGCCCTTTTACAATATGTTTCTGTAAAATTACATGGACTGAATAAATAATCAAGTGAACTTATTTCATTTACTGAAATTAACTGCCTCAAATTGGCCAACTGCTGTTTGAGTTCATGAAGTATTAATTGTAATGTGTAATATATGCCTAATATTTATGATAACGTACTAATAATATGCAGAATAACATTAGAGTTTCTCTGATCATCTTTGAATTAAACTCTGGCTCTACTTTCCTCCCACATAAAATGGACGTTAGAAATTTGACTAAGGTTTTACTGTTTTTTTCCTTGATTTTACAATAAACTACTGGCAGTTGTGGTTGCCAGATAATCTTCAGTTTAAAAAAAAAACAATAATGTTTTAGTTTAAAAATGTATTTTACTGTAAATCTAGATTTCTTTACAGCAATTGTTTACGGTATAGGTTTCATTTTTTTACAGTAAAGATTAAAAATTTCACAGGAATTTCAAAATCATTTAATCTTCAAATGTATATTTAACAGCGACGTCAATAATGTCTTCCATGCAGTTACTGTTTTTCTTTTTTCTGCCTCTAGGTATCATGGGTAAAGAGGGACGTCAGGCGGCTCGTAACAGCGACTATGCAATTACCAAGTTCAAACACCTGAAGAAGATGCTGCTGGTTCATGGACACTACTATTACATCAGAATCGCTGAGCTGGTCCAGTATTTCTTCTATAAGGTGAACCCAAACACTCACAATACAACATACTTCTCCCTACACATATGATGCTTTGTGTAAATTATAGGAGTAAATCTTCAGCAAAATTTTATCAATATACAATCAGATGCCCAATTACTCTAATTAACATAGTCAAGCTCTTAAATTGCACTTTAAGCTGAATACTAGTATCTTGAAAAATATCTTGAAAAATATGATGTGCTGTCATCATGGCAAAGATAAAATAAATTAGTTATTAAAACTATTATCTTTAGAAATGTGTTGAAAAAATCTTCTTATTGACACTTTTTAATGATTCTATTAATTCTGATTTTAACTGTATGTTTGTGATACCAGGCAAGGCAAGGCAAGTATATTTATATAGCACATTTCATACACAATGGTAATTCAAAGTGCTTTACATAGACAGGAATAAAAGAAACAAGTATAAGAAAAGAATTACAACAGAATAAAATTGTGAAAAGCAGATTAAAATGTGTTTAACATGTTTTAAAGGAATAAAAAAAGAAAAGAAAGACATATTAGTGTGATCTGTCAGACGTAGCACAGTGCTCATTCAGTAGTAAGGCACAGCTAAACAGTTGGAGCACATCTGATCACCTGATGATTTCTGAAAGCTAGTTCCAGCAGTGGGAGGCGTAGTAGCTAAAAGCAGATTCACAGTGTTTTGATCGAACTCTCGAGAAGTCTAATTTACTTGATCCTAATGATCTGAGTGATCCGTTAGGTTTGCATTTAGTGAGCATATCTGCAATGTATTGAGGTCTTAGGCCACTTAGTGATTTCTAGGCAAGTAATAATACTTTAAAATTTATTCTGAATGTAACTGGGAGGAAGAATGGAGAGTCCATTAGAGTAATCCACCCTGCTGGTGATAAAAGCATGAACAACTTTCTCAAAAGTCCTCACTGGAAACAAAGCATCTAATTATTGTGATGTTTTTGAGATGATAGTATGCTGATTTAGTGACGAATTCAGATCTGACGCTAGAATCACACCAAGATTCTTGACCTTATTTTTTTGTTGTTTGACCTATAAAGCCAAGGTAAACATTTACTTTGAGAACCTCATCTCTGTTCCCAAACGCAATGACTTCAGTTTTCTCTTTGTTTAACTAAAGAAAGTTAGGGTGAAGACTGAAGAAAGAGGGTGTCAATGGGGCTGTAGTCATTAGACAATAAGGCTAAGACATTATTATATTAATACATTACTATACTGTCACTATTTTTAAGACAAAAAAAAAAAGCCAAACGTACCTCTCCCTCAGTTTCACAATGCAAATAGATTATTTGTAGCACCATCTTCATTTGTTTCATTTCTATTGAATGAAAGTCCCCCAAAACAGAAAAGCGGCCCCTAATTTAAAACGTATAGCAGGCACATGTGGAAAAAAAGAAAAACACAAAATAAAAAATTACTATTATCTAAAACAAAACTGCTGATCGCTAGCTGAAGCTGACACAACACAAACTGCTTGTAAACACAGGAGTAAGTGCGTGTGCTCATGTGTACGGATGCTACTTTTTTTCTCCCAGGAGCTCTGACTAAACCACCAAACAGTCTTGTTGAACTCGCAGCTCTATTTATAGCCAACAGAATTCACAAACACCCTGAAGAGTTGTGTTGATCAGGTACTGAGGGTCTGTTCTCTCTCCGCAGAACGTCTGCTTCATCTTCCCTCAGTTTCTCTATCAGTTCTTCTGTGGCTTCTCTCAGCAGGTAAACACACACACACACACGCACGCACGCACGCACACACACGCACACGCACGCACACACACGCACACACACGCACACACACACACACACACACACACACACACACACACACACACACACACACACACACACACACACACACACACACACCTCAAAATGCCAATCAAACAGACTGCTCTGTGTTTCCTTAATTGTGTGCAGAATGTTAGTAGTATGAATGATGTTAATTAAAAGAGAAAGTTATGAGTAAAACCCAATAAGTTCTGAAAACACATAGGGGAAATGTTTATATGTACTGTATATGCTTTAGTAATTACACCTCATAAATGATTCTTTTGAGCTGTAACTTATTGGTGATTCTATTACAGATATAAAAACAAACTTTCTGAGATGATTCCGTTGGTGAATCAAAACATTATGAGGTGCAATCTGTGTAGTGATTCATGAATAGTTGTGTCTTCTGAGATTATATTATTGTTTAGTGAGTCAAAACACTAGATGCAACTTTTGTTGGTGGATTCATGAAAACATGAGTCCTTTAGAGATGATTCCTTCTATGTGAATCAAAAAATTATGTGGTGGAACTTTTGTAGGTGGATTTTTGAACAAATGAGTCCTTTTGAGATGATTCCTTTTTTTGTGAATCAAAAAATTATATGGTGGAACTTTTGTTGGTGGATTCATGAATAAACAAGTGTTTTAAGATGATTGCTTTTCTGTGAATCAAAACATTATGAGGTGCAACTTTTGTAGGGGGATTTATGAACAAATGAGTCTTTTTGAGAGGATTCTTTTTTGTAAATTAAAACATTATGAGGTGTAAATTGTAGGTGGATTCATGAACAAATGAATCTTTTACGATTATTATTTTTTGTGAGTTAAAACATTTTGAGGTGCAGCATCAAATTAGTTTTTTAGAATGTTTTTTTTCTGTGTGAATCAAAGAATTTTGAGGTGCAGCCTGTGTTGATTCATAAACAAAACAAGTCTTTTGATATGATTTTTTGTGTGACATTATGAGGTGCTAACGGTAGGTTGATTAATGAACAAATTAGCCTTTTGAGATTTTTTTTTCTTTTTTTTGTGAATCAAACATAAGGTGCAACTTGTGTAGGTCAGTTCTTGAACAAATGAGTTTTTTAAATGTTTAGTTGTTTTGTAAATCAAAATATAATGCAATGCAACCTGTGTAGGTTGATTATTAACAATATAATTTATTAGGATGATTATTTTTTCTTAATCAAAACATTATGACAGGCAGCATCAAATGTGTCTTTTAAGATAATTCTTTTTCTGTGAATCAAAAATTGTAAGTTACAACCCATGTAGGTGGATTAATGAACAAATGAGTCTTTGAATATGAATCTTTTTTTTTTTTTTTTTTTTTGTGAATCAAAACATTATGAGGCGCTAACTGTTTAAGTTAGTAAATGAACAAATGAGACCTTGGATGTGATTCTTTTTTGTGATTCAAATCATTATGGGATAACAAAACAAGTCTTTAAATATTATTTTTTTGTGTGTGAACCAAAACATTATGAGATGCTAACTGTCGGTTGATGCATAAACAAAACGAGTCTTTGGATATGATTCTTTTTTGTGAATCAAAATATTATGAGGCGCTTTCTGTGTAGGTTGATTCATAAACAAAACGAGTCTGGAAATGATTCTTTTTTGTGAATCAAAACATTATGAGTCGCTAACTGTGTAGGTGGATTCATGAACGAAACGAGTTTTTGGATATGATTCTTTTTTGTGAATCAAAACATTATGAGATGCTAACTGTATGTTGATTCATAAACAAAACGAGTCTTTGGATATGATTCTTTTTTGTGAATCAAAACATGAGGTGCTTACTGTCTAGGTTGATTCATAAACAAAACAGGTCTTTAGATATGATTTTTTTTGTGAATCAAAACATTATGAGGTGCTTACTGTGTAAGTTGATTCATAAACAAAACGAGTCTTTCGATATGTTTCTTTTTTGTAATTCAAAATATTATGAGGCGCTTACTGTGTAGGTTGATTCATAAACTAAATGAGTCTTTGGATATGATTCTTTTTTGTGAATCAAAACATTATGAGGTGCTATCCGTGTCTGTTGATTCATAAACAAAAGGAGTCTTTGTATATGATTCTTTTTTGTGAATCAAAACATTGAGGCGCTTACTCTCTACGTTGATTCATTAACAAAACAGGTCTTTAGATATGATTCTTCTTTTGTGAATCAAAACATTATGAGGCACTAACTGTGTAGGTTAATTAAAAATTCATATTTTAAAGTGTGTGTAATAAACTTATTTTTACAGTGTAATTACTGGGTTATATAGAATAACTATTACTGTACAAATGCAGTTAAGTCATAGGGTTAAGAATAGTACCAAATTATTACTTTATGTAATGACTGAATCAGGACTGTAAAATAAAGTGCTGAACTGTATATTTAGTTGTACTTGAACTTGTATTTTTATATCAGTAACAATGTGAACCATGTTGAATTGTTTTGTCCCTCTGCAGCCACTGTACGACACAGCATATCTGACCCTGTACAATATCAGCTTCACGTCTCTGCCCATCCTGCTGTACAGTCTGATGGAGCAGCACATCAACATGGACATCCTGAAACGGGACCCCTCTCTCTACAGGTGAGCAGCATTTTAAGTCTCGTTTGTGGATGTGTGAAGCATCTCATCACATGTACATGGGAGGTATTTTGGAGCTGCACGTTCATTTCTATTTCTGGGTTGCTCTTTGAGACCAACTGATAAATCCCTGTCTACGTGCGGCTATTTATACCAACCTTGGCCTCCTTTTTTGCATGAGTGTTGGCTTGCTGGGATTCGGTATGCAGAGAGATTCGTTATGCCTAAGAGAATTATTGTCAGAGATAGACATCAAAAAATAAAATCAAAAAAGTTTATTCTATTTTATTTTAT